ACATTTCAGATCACTCGTATGGGTGGTGAAGTGTTGCACGCATCGCAAACACGAATGATCATTTGCACGAAACGTGCCAATAAACAACTCGCAACTGCATTCATAACGTCGATGATAAGCACACTCAAACAAAATCCTTTATTTGCTGCTTTGTACATTTCACCGATCCACTTTTGGAATATTCTTTTATGGATGGATATTGTTCGTCTTTTTTTGGAATTCGCTATCCTTTCATTTATTTATTTTTGATTCCTTTGATTTCCGACCATGCAGTTTGCCTACCCTAAGCCTTCCCTGTTCTTCCTCTTCCCTTCGCCATTTTGCTAGTTCCTCGTAGCCTTTGAGTTAGTTGGTTGATAGGACTGAAATGATGTAGATAAACTTCTGAAAAAGAGCTTTGAGTATTCAGTTCTATTGTCAACTCTTCTAAATTTTTGATGACCGTGCTGAAATGAACTATTTTAGTTCAGTGCCTTATTGTCTGATGAGTACAATTAATAATATTTGAAATGTAATTATGTTTACAGTCAGTGTACTTGAATAGTATTCAATATTTATTCTAGAGAAACTACCGGTATCCACTTGTTTTGGAGCAGCTAGTTGAATGTATATCATAGTATTCATTAATGACATAGGAGTTATGAAAAATACCAAGAGAAAAGATGTTCAATGGCATATGTGACGAAAGAAATAGGCTCGAATTGCTATTTCAAGTGTTTGCGTATGTCTTTTTTGACCTGTCTACGGTCCCTTCAACCAGCAAATGGGTGATTTTCATCAATATTTGAAGGAGAACTATGCGTGTATTGAATTTGCTGATGTTGGTGACGAAGAGAACGGTAAGGAGGATCGTATAACGTCGAAACTCTCCATCGCGGATTTATTGCCCGAGGAAGCCATGTGCAAGTCGACATTTTCACGAATCCTTCTCGAATATATGCAGACGATTGCCACTAAAATGAAATCTGAGGTGGTGACCACTGCTCAATTCATTGATCAAAACCACCCCAATGCTGTTTAACGAATTCATGAAAATTCATTTGATTTTTCATTGTCACGTCAACAAATGCCATATAAACACGGGAAATATTACAGAAATCGTTACG